GCGTAGTAGGAAATGAATTGGAAATCCGGCTGAATGGCTCACGAGCGTCAATACGTTCAATTCGAAAGGCGCGACGCCGTCCATACCGCTGCAGGACTCTTGTCATTGTGAACTGTGATGACGGGTCCGAGAGTTGCGCACTAAACCAGACAGAAAATTAAGACCCTCCAGCCCCTCTGCATGAAGGACCCTACGCAATGGAGCGTTCAGACTCCTGATGGAGATCCCATGTCATGTGTGCGTGAAGAGCCACCGAGCTTCTCAAGTGCCTCTTCGTCACCCAGACGTCGAGTTGTGCCAGTGTGTGGGGCAGAACCCTGTCGGATTGCAACCGAATGCATCATGACCCAGAGAACATTAATACTCCACCATTACTTCCATCTAAATGCGAAACTGTTCCTATTGTTTGCGAATTGCATTATCTTGCGAACTGAGAAGATTAATTTTCTGCTGTCCCTCCCTAGGGCAGTCATCCTTGGTTTAGCCTCCCGTCGAACCATGACAGTGTTATTGTTATCTGAAGATCGAATTTCCTAAATTGTACATAAAAATTCAGTTCATACCTCACAGGAATCACATTACGTCAACGCTACAAAGACCAGCCGGTTCAGTCTTTTTAGGGGAAAGAAGTCGTTTTCATTGTGACAGTAATATGATAATATGAAACGCAAACGTAAACTCTGTGGGGAGAATGTAAAGTCTTTGTATATTAAAGCAGGTGGTAAATATGGTGACCACTGGGTTTAAAGGGGTAATCCCTTGAAGAAAGAAAATGAGTGGGAAAATCTGAGGGACCTACCGGCAGTCAAAGAAACTTTATTAAACCATCCAACAATTTTCAGAAGATAAATCTTAAAAGATATGAAAAGAATCTTAAGAAACGATCGTGTTTTAAAGAAGTGACTGATTTATAATGCGCTTTTCTTAGCTTTCCCTTGTGAAATATTCAAATCACTGTGTTGAAATAATTTGCAGCTCCCAAAGCGGTTTAAAAGCCGGTGCCCCCAAGCTCGAAAACAGGTTGATTTTTATTAACTCGGAACGGCTTACTAAATATTTCCACTCTAACAACACTGATCGGTAGTGTAGAGAGAATTCTCAGCCCGATAAAGCAAACAAGATTTCCTGTATCCACTCATAACGTGAGTTCAGTAGGCCTATTGTGGAAATGGATGCAAAGATTTCTGTTCAAGGTTTGCACCGTGCGTTATCTGAAATCGCATTGCATTTAGGACATCTTTGTATATATCAACTTCATATGCCTCAGGAAAGCACGCGTTATGTCGCGGATTAGTTTCTAACGCATTGCTCGGTATTACAGCGTATTTGTATTGTTGTTTTATAGTGTTTTGTGTGATTGACTCCAAAGGAATGTAAAATATTGCAAGCTGTGATATCCAGAAATCGAACCTGTCACTTTCTCGAGCGTCCCATCTGCAAAAAAACTATTTCACTATACGTCTTTTCCCCGGAAGAAAATTAGAATATATCATGCCCATAGCATAACAGCAGCAAATTCACTGATTACCCAACGTTTCCTTAATATTGGACCTCACTTAACATAACCAAGCTGTTCTTGATTGTAAGCCATGCAGCCAATGTCAGATTTGTGACTTCCTAAATGTTGTTTCCGNAATTTTCAGAAGATAAATCTTAAAAGATATGAAAAGAATCTTAAGAAACGATCGTGTTTTAAAGAAGTGACTGATTTATAATGCGCTTTTCTTAGCTTTCCCTTGTGAAATATTCAAATCACTGTGTTGAAATAATTTGCAGCCCCCAAAGCGGTTTAAAAGCCGGTGCCCCCAAGCTCGAAAACAGGTTGATTTTTATTAACTCGGAACGGCTTACTAAATATTTCCACTCTAACAACACTGATCGGTAGTGTAGAGAGAATTCTCAGCCCGATAAAGCAAACAAGATTTCCTGTATCCACTCATAACGTGAGTTCAGTAGGCCTATTGTGGAAATGGATGCAAAGATTTCTGTTCAAGGTTTGCACCGTGCGTTATCTGAAATCGCATTGCATTTAGGACATCTTTGTATATATCAACTTCATATGCCTCAGGAAAGCACGCGTTATGTCGCGGATTAGTTTCTAACGCATTGCTCGGTATTACAGCGTATTTGTATTATTGTTTTATAATGTTTTGTGTGATTGACTCCAAAGGAATGTAAAATATTGCGAACTGTGATATCCAGAAATCGAACCTGGCACTTTTTCGAGCGTCCCATCTGCAAAAAACTAGTTCACTATACGTCTTTTCCCCGGAAGAAAATTAGAATATGTCATGCCCATAGCATAACAGCAGCAAATTCACTGATTACCCGACGTTTCCTTAATATTGGACCTCACTTAACATAACCAAGCTGTTCTTGATTGTAAGCCATGCAGCCAGTGTCAGATTTGTGACTTCCTAAATGTTGTTTCCGTAGTTTTCGCCTGAACGGGTTCATATCTCAGTGCCCTTCAGGGGGAATATAGCCCCTTGAACGCGACTTACGTTCCGTATATTTTAAACTACCTTCTTTTTTTTTCAGGAAAATGAGGTGCAAACGACTCGATACAGTTTACTCTGCCAGAAGAACGCGTGACGAGGGGGGTAAGTGAACATAAATAATTTTTACCGTCAACGCAACAGTATTTTATTATTTATTTATGTATTTATTTATATAGCACGCACTACATGTTTCGAACTCAAATGGTTCATCCTCCGGTGCTGTAAGTTTCTCACATACTATTACCGAACTGAAACGCTAACATTCTGGTTTCTCTAAATGGTTCGTACAAATTAGTTTCTATTCAATTCACAATGTAGACAAAACTTAGACGAGACCTGGGGTAAAATTAACAGAAAATACAATGAAATAAGAATAAAAATCGTACATCTGATGAAGTCATATACATTACAATAGCTTAAACTTAATTTAATAATTAGGTGATCCTAAATCCAAAATTTGATATTTAAAAATGATTTTAAAATGATCTTTCAAAATGTTATAAGCTGTAAGTAGCTTCGTGTTTGTTACTGCAGTAGACCACGCACAGGCTTCGTCAGATTTCTTTTGCTGTTGTCTGCATTGGGTCGCCATGTTACATTCTAGTAACGTACTGTTACAATTTTCCTAGAGAATATATCCCTCTTCTTTCATGTTGTCGGGAGCCAATCTACAATGAACAAAGCAGTGTTCTGGGATGTGGCGCCTTGTAGATATTGTGTTAACCGACGTTTCGGAGGAACGTATCGCCTCCATATTCAGGCTAGAAGACAAGAAGAAATCCGCGAGCGACCTAGTGTGAGCAGGTGAGCACTGCTCGCTTGCGGATTTTCTTCTTTTTTTCCCTACCCTGAAAATGGAGGCCATACGTTCCTCCGAAACGTCGGTTAACACAATATTTACATGGCTCCACATCCCAGAAGACTGCTTTCTTCATAGTCACCGCCGTGAAAAACTCAAATCTTACAATCTACAGTGGTTTGTTAAGTACTTGTCCACCAGATTTGCAGTATTTGAGTGTTTTCTAATCCTTTCCAAAAGTTAGGCGCCTCTGTGCAAGACCTATTGAGTATGACGTCAAGTATGACAATGCACAGCGTACGTAGCTGGTGCCTTCTCTCAAGTTGTAATGCACTGCCTCTTTGTTTCTCTGGCAATCTCAACAGCACATCATGTTTCTCCGAGGTACCACGTATCTGACGGTTCCGGTTTAGCGCTTTTCTTCTCAGCAACCTAAAATTCCAAGAAACCTTCTTGAATTACTTTCTACATTGATTGATTAAAACGAAGGTAGCGCAGTTTCTTTACACGCATTTCAGATTGTCTTGCAAATCCAGGAACAGTACAGTACTTAAGACTTTCTCGTTATTTCAGTATAGCGCATGTTATGGCAGCAGACCAACACTACTGTATAGTTTCGTTTTGGATAGCCGAGGCCTGGAAATGAATTTGCAATCACTTGGATATTTTTATATAGTTATTCATTTTAAAGGCATTTTGAATACCGAAACATATTTAGGTGTTAAGAGATGTATATTTTGTTAATATTTTCACTATTTACGGGTTGTGCGTGACTTATAAGACGGGTTTTGGTTTGGATTATTGGAGTTATTGACACTTTATACACAGTACTCGGGACTGCAGGCAATGCAGCGCTATCGCTGGTCTACACACTTTACAGTTCACCGCTACAAACCATTAGGTTTCTCAGTCTTTACTAGTCGTATCCTGGCAACGGATAAAATTTCGTACCTAAAAATAAATCTGTGTCGTTTATAAAGGCCTCTGTTATTTCAGTATTTTATTCAGTTTTCTCTATTTCATTGAAATACTGTATTGTTTGTTATTCTTCTCTTTCTGCAGGGTTATTGCAGATCCAGTAAGTTCTAAAACTCAAGTTTTGCGGGCTCTCTCTCACACACATATCTGCATGCCTGCACATCTGTCTAGCCGTCTCTCTATCTTTATTTACTTACTGGGTCTTATTTACTGACGCTTCCAGTGGTTCTGTTGTGTTTACACTACTCTGAAACCTAAAGGATATTTTCTTCCTTATATTTACAATCTTGGGTTATGTTAATACATTTGCGAACTCTTAAATACGTATTTAGGTCACGTGAAATATCACCTCTCTGCCTTCGTGGAAATATTTTTTTACGATAGGTTCTGAATCTTCGCTAAATAAGAAGTTCCCTTTCACTTCTCAGTCACAATATATATATATATCCGTAGTGAAATCTTAATTTCTTTACTTTTATGACATTTTATGTATGATCCTTGTACATATTAAATGAATCATATTAGGTTCCTTAACATGTTCTTATGTCACAGATTTTCATCTCCTTTTTAATTTTGAAGTCCTTTTTATTTTTACTTCTTCATTTCTCAATTTGATTGCCTCCTGTACGAACCGATTCCTGTTTCCAATCCAGGCTACTCATGATGCAGGTAAATTAAGGAGGAAATTTCGTTGTCACAAAATAATATGTTTGTATACTCACAGATTATAATGAACATCTGCCATATTGCTGCGATATTTGAGAGCCATCCTGTAGGCCCACTCTGCTTCCTCCACCCGACCCTGGGAACTCAACACAGACCCGAGGTTCCCGTAAGCTAGAACACAGACACAGAAAGTACAAATCAGAACTGCGGGTTTATTTGGCACTGAACGATTTCAGTTTCACGGCGGTTCTGAGATAATGTGGATCCTGTTTAGAGGATTGGGAATGTGTAGACGGAGCCTACTGTCATCGGCTCGGACCCCCGTACGGTCCAAATTCTTACGTTGAAATCTGCCCCACACATTGGGCTCTCGACCACTGGAAGTCCCGTGGTTACAATTAGCATTTATCATCGATTACCGGGCAGCCACGTAATGAATGAAGTTTCAGAAACGTTATAGGTATTAATTAAAACCACAGCTACTCCGCTACCGATCACACAGAATTTCACTCATTACTTAGCAATTTTCTTAAGTATATTAATTAGTTTGCTACGGTTTTTATTATTAGCTTGACATTAAACATATAATTTAAGCGGGAACAGTCTTCATGGTACCTACAATACTGAAGTGGTATGTGGTGGTCGCATGAAATAGGGCTGGAGACTGGGAATCCCAGGCCTACTTTAATATCCCCACAAAACAGGATCCACCTAAGTTAAATGTATAAAGCTAGCTCCATAAAGCAGATCCCTTCTTCAGAACGCAGTTCTTGCTCAGCTACACAAGAAACTCTGCTTTTTATGGAACCGTAGGTTCAGTACCTTGGTCACAAGACCCTGCACGTATTACATCACCTGTTTTGCTTGCTATGTTGTAAGATGCGAATAGGCCGCGCCATAGCTCAAGCGGTTAGCCGCTGGCTTCCCACCGCGGCGGCCCGTGGTCGATCCCGGGTCTGGTCAAGTGGGATTTGTGGTGGACAAAGTGGCGCTGGGGCAGGTTTTCTCCTAGTACTTCGGTTTCCCCCGCCAATCTTCATTCCACCAAATTGCTCCACAATCACCCTCACCTATCATCTGGGGCTGGTACAATAGGCCAGAAGTGGCCGCAGTTCAAGGGACTTAGTCCCACCCCACTAGCAATAAAAGAAAAAGATGGGAATAGCTCTCCCAGATAGTAACACCACAAATAGGCCTAGTTAAAAAATAAGGGGAAGTTGCCCCTGTGCTTAATTTATTAAAAACTACGCCATGAAGATGTATGGAGGAGTGGATGTATAGATCCACGTATTCTTGACCTCGCTATTCTACACATATCATTTATTAAATCTCAGCCGTTCACCAGTTACACTAATGGCATACACGATTCTCTAATATAACTGCACAATAAAATGTGCATACTTCAGTAACACAAATCTCCTATTCCCTACAGTGATTTACCATAGTTATATATCCACCCCAGAAGTTCGTACGGCACCGGCTTTGCAACTTTGATAGTAGAGATATTATATATATTGTGGCATGCCGCGAGAAAGCTGGAATGGTTGAAGAGGTCATTGTTGATTTCCTAGACAACGAGCAACGTTCCCACTACAACGGCTAGGAATCAGAACGCATCCATTGCTATACAGCAATTAGTAATAGCAGGCGGAATTAACCCTATTCAGTCCGAAGGCAAGTTATAAAGGCGCGTCCACATTACTCGTGCTCGTGCGTCAGAAGCTTACTGCTGCTGGAAAATCAGAATCTGGAGCTGACGAAGTGGACGCCCAAACCGGTTTACATACAAAGTCTTCGCATTTCTTCGCAACAGATATGAGCTCCAGATCCTGATTTTCCGGCATCAGTAAGCTTCTGACGCACGAGCACGAGTAATGTGGACAGGGCTTAACAGTCCAACGTCGGCCAGAGACCAGCAGAATTAGTATTCGCAAGAGAACAGAAGAGTTGTTATCCGACTAGAGCAGAATTGTAGTAACATTGGAGAAGAAATGTCTAAAGGACGTTATAAGTTGAGAATATCTGTAAGTGTGAATGTAACATTGGCTCTCCAATAAATATTCGTTCAAATTCGAGAGCCCACAAAATATCTTGTCGGGTTGCCCAGCACACACGCGACAGGGGAGTTGGTGATATACGTATTTTCTACAACATTACTGCTAGTAATAAACCCATCGGGCGGATAGAAGTAAAGGTTGGTAGCCCTGTCCGAAGGAAGGACATCAGAACTTAGAATTCATATAAAGGAACATTTAGTTAAGTTAGCGCTGCGTGGCCCTATCATCCTGGCAGCTTCCATGTAGCTTCATGGCTACACGGAGCGATAACATATTCAGCTCAACTCGCGACATCTAGTGTCGAAAATATAAATTTTATATTTATACCAACAAACACAATCGTTTAGACAAAAAACTGTCGTGTAGCACATGCCTAAAAAGGAAGAGAAGGCTACACGAAATCATTCTGCTTTTTTATACTTACACATGTTATTACATTATATTACGTACTGCAATGCTTACATGTGTGTATCTTGTAAGGAGAGAAAGGTATAAAGTTTACCTGGTGAAAGTTGGCCCATTTTCCGCAATGACGCAATATTCTAATAGAATTCGCGACTCCAGAAAAACGTATTTCACAGTAACTTTCAATCATATGACAGTACAGAAAATCCCAGACTTCATCATAATTTATCTTGCAACAAATTTATGTAGGTTTACACCTGTCCAGCTACACATGACTACAGAAATTTGTCACTGTTCGCTTGTAGTGAAGTATAAGTGTTATGGCGATTAAGTTCCTAGCATAGTCAGACTGGTCCGATAAAGCTACATGTAGTCAATCCAAGTGCTGCTCGCTGAAAATTTCGTAGCGCTTCATGTTCGAATATAACCGTGGTTCGTAAGTTTGCCCGACTCATGCACCCTTGTCATGTAAAATCACGATACATAATTTTTCAGATAAGATTAATTTGCATCTTATATTTCTCCTTTGTATTTTATAAGAGTGTTTCATATTTCCTAAAATTATTATTCGGTGTCAGTGACTTAGGCTGAAGGAAAAGTTAATTAGCTTGCAACACACAATAAGAACAAGAATATAAGAAGCTTGTATAGAGGAATAAATGAATTTAATGGGGCTAACCAATCTAGAAGTAACTTATTGAAGGATGAGAATAGTGATCTGCTTGCAGATTCCTACAAAATTTCGAATGGGAGGAAGAGCTACTTCTCTCAGTTCTTGAAGGTGTATAAAGGCCCAGTTATATGTGAGGGAGTTACAAATGAGCCATTAGTACTTGATCCTATTCCTTTTCAGGTTTATATTGCCATTGCACAGCTGAAAATGCACAAATCGCTAGGTGATGATCAAATTGTGGCAGAAGTGATTCAGGCAGTAGGTGAAACGATCAAATTGTGGCAGAAGTGATTCAGGTAGTAGGTGAAACATTACAGTCTGAGATCCGTAAACGTATTAATTCTATATGGAATAAGGGAAAACTGCCAGATCACTGGAAGGAGCCTGTTATTTTACCTGTTTACAGGAACGGTGATAAAACTGACTGTAGTAATTATCTTGGGATATCGCTGGTTATGAGCTTCATACAAAATTTAATACAATATTCTTCACTCAAGGTTAAACACATATGTAGAAGAATTTATGGGGGATCATCAGTGTGAGTTTCAACGCAACAGATAAGTAACTGATCAGACTTTCTGCATTCGTAAGGCAGTGGAGTAAAATGGGCGTAAAATGAGACAGAACATCAGTCATTCGTAGAATTCAAGAAAGCCTATGATTCAGCTATGAGGGTAGTATTGTACAATATTCTCACAGAGTTTGGGTTATCCATAGAACTACTCAGGCTGATTAAAACGTGTTTAAATGAAACGTATATTAAAGTCAGCATAGGTAAACATTTGTCTGATAATTTTCCTGTCTACAATGGTTTAAAACGAGATGCTTTGTTGCCACTGCTTTTAAATTTTGTTTTAGAATACGCTAATAGGAAGGTTCAGGAAAACCAGGTGGGACTGTAATTAAATGGAACACACCAGATTCTGGTCTATGCTGATGATATGAATCTACTGGGTGATAACACAGATGCCATAAGCAAGAACAGAGAAACTCTAATTGATGCTTGTAAGAAGGTTGCTCTAGAATTAAACGCAAGGAAAACTAAGGAGGTGTTGCTCTTGGCTAAGCCAACTGCTCACGCTGGTTCCTCTCTCGCTGATTTTATACTCTGAAGATGGAGGCGATACGTTGTTCCGAAACATTGGTTTACACAATATCTACACGGCGCGACAGCGCAGAAGACAGCATTCTTCGTCACAGCCGTGGAAACCTCAGCTCTTACATAAAACAAATCAATTGTATCGTTAAGTCCTGAACACTAACGCAAATGTAATATGGCACTGATGAAAAGACACGTCCCAGTGTGGCCCGGGAGAACTTTCTGCACCACATCCATGGACAGCGTCTGTCACTAGGGCCAGGCTTTCTGGTCTCCACTGGTGCAGAAAGGGAAGTTACATGTGTACGCGGCTACCAGCCCACTCGTGGCGAACTGGGCCATGAATCAGTGTGCATATGCTGCTGAGGTTTCTGTCCAGCGCAGTCTGTTGTGCAGACACTAAGAACTTCAAGCCGGATGCAGTTTTAAAGAGGATGAATAATTTGTGTTCATATTTGTGGAATATTTAAGATTTTTCTGAAGTGTGCGTTCAGTTAGCACACCAGAAAATATCCGAAGATGGAAGAACGTAGAGTAAGATAGGCCACACAACTGCATGAGTCAAGGCATGTAACAGTCAAGACACAATGTCTGCGACATGACACAAAGAAAGGAGCACAGTTGAAACGAATGAGATTATGAAAACCGCCGTACACCGGTCTGAGTCATGATGCTGGCATCAGCTTTATGCTGACGAATCACGAATGAAGCAAGACTGCGTCTTTTGTATCATGTCTTGATGCTTGTTTTGACGCAGTTGGTGTGCGGCCTCCTTAACAAACGCCATTCTGCTCAGGTATGCGAGATTCGTTGTCCTCCGAAATTTCATACACGAGGAATTCAACCAATTTGACGCAAGGATTTGAGATACCTCTTTCACAGAATGCAGACGAAGTTCAATTTCTGAATCGCAGTTTCCGTTTCGGGACAGTCTTGATTATGATGTGCATACACGTGTATGTTGGTTTTCTGATTACGCCCGCTGAAACCCATGCATGTCTTTTTCGGGCCTGAAAATTATTTCCTTCTTGATACGAGACTGCTCGAAAAGTCTCAGAATCTTATACACGAAGATTCGCTGGCAATTTCGCTCTGATTACTGAAACTGCATACAGTTGAGAGTGTCAAGTCCCACAGGCTGAGAAACATTATCTCTGAAATATGTCTTGTGTGATGTGACACCATGTAGTCTGGCAGAATTTCAATTCTGATTTGATTTACTTACGACGTACATTATGCGATTATCTGACTCTTGAAGTCTACTTATCAAGAGGCTGTGAAAACGTTTTATGGATTATCATTGTCATATTATACTGTGGACTGGCATAGAATTTGAGCTCTGACCAGGAGACGTTACAAGGGCACCGTCGCACCGTCGGGAGGGATGATAAGCAGCTGTCGTTTATTCCGCGGCCAGCAATTTCCTTGTGACTTAACGTAAACACATAAACTTCACTTCCAAAGAGGATAAAAAAGCTGTATTCTCCATAATCTGAAACTTCGTCGGTCTGGCCCCCATCAAAATATTGCGCCCCGTGTCGCTGTGTTGCATTGCCGACTGACTTACGACCGGACCATTTCCCCTCTGCCCAACGGCGACGCTATAGGAGGCCTTGGAATCAGCAGCGCTCTTCGTGTGTAAGCCGTTAACTTCTACTCCATTTCCCTCGTTTTTCATAGCAGTTCACTTTCAAAATGTGCGCAGTCTCTCACCGTCAGCTGGTTGCACCATCTCTGTATAAATTGACCTAGTTTTCACCACCTTTTCCGCTTTGGACGTACGGGAAAGAATATTTGACAGAGGGAGGGAATAATCATTATGTAGCACGTAGGCAGTAATATTCACCAGTTTCCTGATTCTCTCATGGGAACGAACGTAAGAAGTAAATGGGCTTGACTTGTAGTCTACTGCAACGCACTCGCGGCTCTGACAGCGTCACGCTATGACGTCTGTTTGTTACGCCAATGCCCAGCCAGTAGTCTAATCGTTTTCAGTTACCGTGGAGGCTGCGCTGCTGGTAACTCACTCCACCTTTGAATAAGACGTGTCATGACGGTGTGTCCTGTTAAAGTCTTCTGGGTTGTTATACCCTGTGCATATGTATGTGGACACCAGCATTTCGAAGGAATACGCTGCCTCCATCTTCAGGGTAGAAGGATGTGGATGCGATTATGTTATACAGGTTGTTGCGTAAATAAGTGTATTGTGTAGGAAGCAGAATGTTATGGTATAAATCAATGGAAAGAGTTTATATATCAAGGGTTCACAAATTCCTCGGTAACGAACTGGAGTAATTTGAACATATTCCTGGAAACCGCGGTATATTGGAACATAGGTTTGAAAATTAGCTAGCTTATGCTAGGGTCACTTAAGAAGGAAATTTGAAGTGCAGAAACGAACGCCTACTTGTCGTTCCACATTCAACAATGGAACGCAGCTGACATGTTCCTTGCAGCTGTAAAAAAAGAAAACTTCATTCACACAACTTGCTTATGCAGCTCGAGAGTAGCCTTCGGCCTAAGTATTTGTGAGACACACCTTACTGACAACAAAAGAGCTGTTCAGGAAGTAACGCAAAAATTGACTATACATGTAGTTTTACAAATTAAGACGTCCCTAAGGCATAATATTCAGGGACGGTAACAGGACAACGCTTTGCATGTTACTGGTTCTGTCTCAACGTATTATGGAATAGAGAAAGAAAGGATACGGTGTTTTGAACATGAACAGTTGAACATAGGAGACACAACAAAAGGGAACTGTTTTATTTATGCATGCATTGCGATTTCACCCAAAATATAGCCCTATTGCCCTACAGAACTACATGTCCTTGTTACCTGAAAAAATAATACAAATTGAGCTGTAACCATTAAGAATTGATGCACCATATTGTCGTTAAAGTATGCAATTTGTATACAGAAAGTTATCTCGCACTGCCCGACAAGCTTCAGCCCGTGATGCACGGATTGAAGAATGCCGTGAAAAGATTCCAGAAGCGGATGTCGGATTGCGTCACCCAAACGTGCATGTTATGGAAATTTAGTACGCCATGCTTTCATCGGTAGCCTGCGGCTGTGTAAAATTATTGGGCCGGGGGAAGGGTGTGAAAATGAAGGGAAATTTGAACTTGTACCCGTTGCCAAGGATTCGGGTGCAACAGCTGTTCGTGGAGAGCCCGCCACATGTTCAGCTGCCTGATCTGTTCGTACGGGGATTCGCTTGTACATGTCTCATGATGTGCTCTACGAAATGAGCTCGGCCTTCGCAGTCTACCGCAGAAGGGCGAACAGTAACAACCGCCTTCCTGACGACGAATTGTGCATGGTTTGGAAAGTGTAGGTTGAGGTTACCTTTCCGCGTACAATCTTACAGCAGCTACAAAATTACCATTGGCTTCGTTGAGACTTAAATACATATCTGCATAATCTCGGGATGTGCATCATTCTGGAGGGCCACCCCTTGTCGGCTGTCCGCGACTGCTTATTCAATATATTCATAGCTTCCCTCCAAAACTGGAGGGCGTCTCCTCCATCCGCAACCTGAGGACGCGCCATGCCATGGTGACAGGGACCCACCTAACATGGTCTCACATTATACAATTAGAATATATAAAACTATAACTATAACTGTGGTTCTGTATGGGTGTGAAACTTGGTCTCTGACATTAAGGGAGGAACATAGACTGAGGGTATTAGAGAACAGGGTGTTGAGGAGAATATTTGGACCGAAGAGAGATGAAGTCACAGGAGGTTTGAGAAAACTGCATAATGAGGAGCTTCATAACTTGTACTCTTCTCCAAGTATAATTAGAATGATCAAGTCAAGGAGGATGAGGTGGGCAGGGCATGTAGCACGAATGGGGAGACTAGGAATGCATATAGGATATTGGTGGGAAAGCCAGAAGGAAAGAGACCACTGGGAAGACCAAGGCGTAGGTGGGTGGACAATATTAGAATGGATCTTAGAGAGATAGGATGGGATGGGATGGTATGGATTGGATAGATCTGTCTCAGGATAGAGACCAGTGGAGGCTCTTGTGAGCACGGTGATGAACCTTCGGGTTCCATAAAATGCTGGGAAATTCTTGAGTAGCTGCAGAATTGGTGGCTCCTCAAGAAGGGCTCAGCTCCATGAGTAAGTAAGTAAGTAAGTAAGTAATAATGTGAGATAGCAGACGAGAAGGCAAGAGGTTCTGGACTGAATGTAGCAAGCATTACCTGAATTCACTCTTCTCTTAATTTCCTCCTAAATCAAGTTTTGATTTGTTATCGTCGTTCCCAAATATCTGAACTGTGCCACATTTTCAGAACATCTATTATCTATATTATTGTCATGATTTTACGCTGCATTTTAGTGAAGAGACATCAACGCATACTTAGTTTTCTCTTTGTTTACTTCCAGCCCAACCTCCTTACTTGCGTCAATTGAAGTTTGTGCGTTTTCCTTCATGGTATATTCATACATTATCACCCAGTAGAGTCACATCATCAGCACAGACCAACAGCTAATGTGTTCCACTTAATTTCATTCCCCCTTTGTTTTCCTGGTTCTTCCTAATGGAATATTCTAAAGCAAAGTTCTTTCTAATATATTATGAATGGGCCGGAATAGCGCAGTCGGTACAGCGGCAGTCTACGGGCTAGACTATAAGGGGTTCGGAGTTTCGAGTCTCGGTGAGGGAAGAATTTTCACTTCTCCGTGTCTTTCAGACCGGCTCTTGGGTCCACTCAGCCTTCTGTCCGATGTGTACCGGGGGACCTTGCCCTGAGGGTAATAGTGCCCAGGCCAAGAAAACGTGGATCCTATACATCCATTCTACCATACGTTTTCATGGCGTAATGCTTAAATACTTAATCCCAGGTACAAATTTACCTTTCTTTTACCAAATATGCGCAGTAACATTTCGTTGTTGCGTAAGGATAGAAGGATAACGTTTTGTATGGCCTCCGATACGAACCTGAGACATCCGGAAACCTTGTGTAAGTCGGGATGAACTTGAGATTTTTTAAGGGTAGAGATGGATCAGATGAGAATTAGAAGAGACAAGTGTCCAAGTGCGACTTTGCGAATAAAGGAAAGAAAGTCACGTGCAGAACTGTAATCCATTTACTGAGCCTACTTCCGTGGGAGGAGGTGCCAAGTAACGGCTCAGCAAATCTCACGATTACACTGCAGGAACCTCTCTCGTCACAGGAATTGTTTTTCTATACAATAAGGAGCATCAGACATGAAACTT